CCTGAAGAGTGGCTGTGGGTGCTCAGACCACCAACCTTCCTGGTCAGCAGCCGGCTGACCGCTTACACACTGTGTCACCAGCGATGTAAAAGCCCTCTTTGGGTTCAGTGTCCTGACCTGCAAAATGGGCAAAGCACATGTTGCTTCACCCCTGGGTCTGCAGTGAGGGCCACAGAAACCAGACGCAGCTCTCCTCCCCGTCCGCTCTCTGGGCACTGACGAGCGGTGGGGCCTGGCCAGGGCAGTGCTTGGCCACATGACATTTCTAGAACGGGGGAACACCGGTCCCACAACCTCCAAGTGTGGGGGCAGCAGGGGAGCAGGGCTGTGAGATGCCGAGGAAGCCTCGTGCTTCAGCCCCGCCCCAGGTGTCCAGCAGGACCACGCTCCACAGGGCTTGCAGCCGGTGATTTCTGGGTTTTACTTCTGCCTCTGGCTGGACGTGCACCCTTCCTTCGCAGTACCCAGGGACTCCTCGGGACTGGGGTGCCATTGCTGGGTGCTGCCAAGTCCAGTCTGACTCTCAATTAGCAGCCAGGCACTTCCCCGTTGCCCCCTTTGGGGTCTCAGAGGAAGTGAGAGGGCGCAAGCCCTCCATCTGCCCAGGCTCCTCTCTCCCCCTTGGGTTGTAGATTGAGGATGTGAGGTGAGGGGCCATCTTGCTGGACCACTTTATCTACCACTGGCCCCGGCTCCACGGGCAGTCCTGCAGCAGGCCGCCAGCTCCGGCCTTGCCCACCTCTCCCTGCACTGAGGCTGGAGGCCTCTGGGGGTCGTGAAGGTTAACAAGGCCTACAGTCAGGCCACCCACCCCTCCATGTCCCCAAAGGACTCAGCTCCACGGGCGGGGGAGGGCGGGGCCCGGGAGGGGGTGGTCAGGGCATCTTTCACTAAAGGCCCTCCTCGCCCCCTGGGGACTGCCATTCTAAAAGCCTTAGATGAGGGCTAAGACTCTACCCACAATTCCTAACCCTTCCTGACACCAGCCAGGCACACCCTAAGTGCTTGATGTGTGTGTTCATTCGCAGTAAAGGGACAGCAGGCTTTTCGTCACCCCCGTGAACATGCAAGATGGGTGCTCTCCCCAGCCCGGACCTGATGTCTCCACATCCAAGTCTAAGTCCTTGGAAAGGTCCGGGTCGGGTCCACAGCCAATGAAGCCACCCCTGCGGACCCATCCCTGTGAGTCTGCCGCCATCCTCACGGCAGCAACCCCCTCAAGCGCTTCCGAATTCTGTGCCATCTGCACAGAGCAGCAACTTGCAGATGGACTAGACTCACACAGCCTCCTTTTCAACAGCCCCTTAAATTCCCCCCAATGGATAAATTACTGATGTTATCAATGGAATCGCTTTGTACCCCAGGGGGATGATGGATAAGGATTTCTTTTTAATCATAAAATGATAAGACCACTAAAATAAACCAGAGTCGTGCATAATCTGTGGACAAGAGGATGGATAGACACTGACTGATTGATTGCTAGATGGACTGGCTGACTGATGGACGGACCCACAAAGAGAGATTCTAATTCAAAGACTGGGATCAGCCCTGCTTCCAGCAGAGAGCCCAGCCTCAGGGAAGTGTTTCAGGGGTCTTTCACTTCTTGAGCCCTGGAGACCTTGCTGGGGCCCTCAGCTGCACTCACACTGACCAGACTGGGAAACAGGGAATGGTGGGTCTCCTCTGGCCGGCTTGGACTGAGGCGCTCCTAACAGCAGGGGTGGGGTGACCTCACTGGTGCAGCCACACGTTGATCTTATTCAGCACTGCCCTCCCCACCCACAGGCCCACCGGACCTAGGAAAGACTATTTCAGTGTTCGGAAGAACCAGCAGAACTTATGTGCTGAGAGGAAATCCCGGACGGCCCCCACCCCCTCCTCTCAACACCCCCTTTCTGGTTTTTCAGGCGCTGCCTCCAGCCCTGGGGAAACTAGTGCTCTCCCAGGTCCCAGGCCTCACGTTGGAGGGAGGCGCAGTGCTCTCTGCCAGACACGGGAGGGAAAGAGAGACAAGATGGTGGCAGACAGACAGACAGACAACGAGGGAGCTGTGCTTTCACAAGGAGGGCCGGAAGAAGCTGAGAGACCCAAGTATGCGGAGAGAGACATCTGCCCAAAGGAAGAACAATAGGCCGGGGCCTAGGGGGCAGGAATTGGGACCCTGATGCCAACTGGGAGTCCTGGCTCGGTCGCTGCAGCTGTCTGACCTTGGATGTCAAGGTTTTCTCATCTATAAAAGGGGGTTCCTTCTCCCTACCTCAGAGGGTTCCCAGCAGGAGGAAATGAGATAGGGTGACAGTAGCCACCCACAGTCCAACCACGGGCAGACAGCAGGGTCAACAGCGGATGCCTGCCAATGAAGGAACAGCGAGCGAGAGCACTGTGCCGGCAGGAAGGCCTGCTGTGGATGGCCAGAGCCCCCCGCCTGCAGCTCTGACAGGGTGCCCTGACCCCACGGGGCTGCACCAGGGCTCTTGGCCTCAAACTCAGCAGCCCACTCAATACTGCTGAAGCTCTTCCTCCCAACCCCCTGCCACACAGCCCAGCTGTCTGTCCACGCCCACATCTGGAGGTGACCCCAGCTTGATGGCCCCCCCACCCAACTCCATTGGGATGAGACCACAGCTAGCCCCGGTGCACAGGCTAGGCATGTCCTGAGCAGCAGGTAATCATGGCAGGAGACTCCTGGCTCCTGCTCAATTCCCACCATGCATGCCAGGCAGTCAGAGTGTCCACCAAGCAGGGCCTGAGCCATTGGCCTTGATCTCCACCAAGACTTTGTTCAAGAAGTGCTCAGCGAACATTCCGGATGGAGTCAGAGCCTAGCGTGCCCCCTCCCTGGTCCAGTAATACCCGCTTGCTCCCAGCATACCCCTGGAGGGCAACCTTATAAATGGTCCCGCAGCACAGAGGACTTGTCCGGACCCCCTTCGGTGACACTAAGTGGAGCAGGATTAGCAGTCTGCTGGATTACAGGAGCTGCCGGTGCAGGCTTCCCAGACTAACTCCTGTGGCTTCCCCAGGGCTCCTGGCTCCGGACCCAAGCTCTGTGTCCTCATG